CCAAAATAGTTTGATGTCTACAATTCATCCTTCCTGGTGAATTGTAAGGTTCAGAACTGATTGACATGCTGTGAAGTAAAGGCTTTTTCTTTACTTTCAAAAAGGAAAGGTCTTTTACAATAAACAGTTGATAGGTGTCCGCATTAGTGAGGTTGCATGACTTTCTGTGAGATTCTGTTGATTGAGCAAGAAACAAGTGTCTGTTGTTCTTGTTAACGGGTGTCCGTATTAAGTGAGTTAAATTTAGTGAAAATGTAGGGGCTTTCCTCAGGAACAATGTCAAAGACAACTGTCCATAATAGCGAGGTGTCCATATTAAGTGAGTGTCCATAAAGTGGAGATTGACTGTATCGATCTTGCGTATAGGCTTCATAATTTCTGTTTTCTTTTACCTGTTAGGTTTTGGAAATGCAGCAAGTACTGTTGTTCCTTCTGGAGGAGGACTTACCACAGGGTTTGGAACAACGTTTAGTCAGCAGCCACCTACAGGTTAACCTATATAAAACTAGTAATAGTTGACACCCAGGGTGTAAAGAAAAGTCTTTTTTACAGCTTGCCAGTTGGGCAAGCTAAAGCTAGCATTTACTAACCCAAACATCATTTCAACTAGCCCCCCAAATTTTTTGATGAGCAGAATTGATTTCACACTTCTTCTGTAAGTTTAGTTCCTCAAAATACTTCACTGGCCTGTCGGGCAAGTTAAGAACTGAATTCACTAGCCCGGTAGCAAAATCCACTGGCACCGGGCTATCGGACACTAATTTCTTTGCGCTCTGACACCAGAGCTGTCCCTGCTGCAGTGTATGTTGTCCATCAATAATTATTGCATCCTTGGTCTTTGTGTACAGCTCTTTCAAATTTTATACCGATTCATATTACTGTGCAAATTCGTGAGTGATAATACAGAAGTGTATACTTGCACTCAGGGCAATAATTCAGCTACCAATTGGTTATATTCTGAATGTTTAGCTCAAATTTTTCCATTTAATCACTTAGATAATACATCATTTGACCTCATAGTTTTTGAAAGTATTTACGGTATATATACTTTTAATTATTGTTATTTACATGACGTACATTTAAATGCGGATAGCCTGTATGGTACTTTTGGGAAATTTAAGCAGCTTTTAGGTTACTCGATCACGAAGTTTCAGTTATAGGTATATCTGAGACCTGGCTAAATGACAGCACTTTAGATCTGGTCAATATACCTGGCTATAACTTTGTCTCAGATCATAGGGTAAACAAAACAGCGTGGTGGAGGTGGCCTTCATTTATTAGACAAATTTGAATTCAAAATTAGATCAGACCTAAGTACTTCACACCCGAGTTGCTACGAGGCTATTTTTGCAGAGATCAATATCCTGGATCTTGTTTACTGTTGGTAATGTCAACCGAGATATCGGTCGATATAGCGGCCGATATAGCGGTCGACACTCGGTCGATAGTCGGTCGATAGTCGGTCGACACTTGGTCAACACTTGGTTGACACTCGGTCGATACTCGGTCGGCACTCGGTCGACAGTCGGTTGATATAGCGGTCGATAGTCGGTCGAGACACGGTCAATAGTCGTTCCAGATGTGTCTCGGCCGATATAGCTTTTCGTTCACCGACACTTCGCTGACATTTGCCGACACTTCGCCGATAGTTGGTCGATACTTGACCGATGTATCGGTCAGTAATTGGTCGACACTCGGTCGATGGTCGGTTGACACTATGGTCGATAGTCAGAAGATAGCTGTTCGATATATCGGTCGAGAGTCGGCCGATAGTCGATTGATATATCGGTCGAGATTTTTGTCGGTCTGTATAGTTCTTAGTCTGTTCTCAATAGCCCTGGAGAAGAAACTGGAGCAAGATTACTGAAATATAAACCGATTACCCCCATTGACACATGGAGATTCTTGAAATATACGCATTTTTGGACATTTTTCGGTCTGTTATGAGTCCAAACTACTCAAAATTAAACATTCTTTGCAATAGCATCCCGTTTTGTGACATTTTTTGGTACGGGCATGCCAAAAAGTCTCACCAGAAACTCATAAGGGGTTGAAACGTGTAACTCTCATATGTTTGCTTTGTCCGATGCTCGTGATTATTCATTTTCGAAAGTACCATATTTGGAACGAGAAGAAGAGATAACTGACCAATCAAACTTCGTAAACAACGTGACGTAATTTTCCTTCAGGTTCCCGCGCCCGCTTAAAAAAATGGCCGACAAACGGGAGAAAAACTCCCAAAAGCCGAGAAAGCTTTTCAAGGTTGAAACCAGGAATATTACCGAAACACTGAACAGGATATTATTGCCTTACCACCCGGGCCAAACGTAACATTATGAAACCCATTGACGGCCTCGCAACTTCTTGAAGTTGTCACTTCAAAAAACGATGCCTCGTTCACCCTCTGCACAGTAAACTTATGCTGCAAATAGCCTCTTTAAATTTTTATGTTAAAAGTCTAGAATAAACAGTGAAAGATATTTTCGAATAAAATTCATTAGCTGCGTATCGAAAGTGTCCAAAACCTGAACCTGACATCTTCGCAAAAAGTGATGCTTGTAATGAATGTGAGAAGCATTTTAAAAGCTTAAATTAAACTAAGACGTTGTAGTCACGATCGTGTTTTGAGCTAATTTTATGACTGAACAAACTCAAAACAATAGACAGAGAAGCCGTTTCTTGAAAATTTTTATTCAAAGTCCAAAAATTTAATCCTTTAAAGCAATTCGGAAAACACTATCTGGATCGTGGATCCGTTCACGCAAGTGACATCGGCTAAGCACATGGCAAAATTCAACTCAAAATCCATCTCAAATCAGGGCACATTTTGTAATTTTTCTCTAGCGCCGAAGAGAAAAATTTATAAAACGTCTATGAAACATTTAAAAATACATAAATTCCCTTTCAAAAACTTAATTGTCTTGGCCATAGAGTACAAAATGTACCTGAAAATTCAGCAAAAACTTCGCTGACTTAGTTGCATTTCAAAACAGACCATGGGCTCCGCCGTGTAGAAAACGAGGTTGAATTCCTCGAAGGACGATTTCTTGATGAAAAACTTCCCTTTCTCTACAAAAAGAAAGCTGAGCATTCTTTTGAACTTTCTCTTTCCATTTTTTGTCTTTTAACGGTGTATTTTTAACCTTGAAATGCAGAATTCTTGTCTTACAACATCTGCATAGTGATCGCGCAGCAGCCATTTTGTTGAAAATGGATATCCGTCACTAAGATTTCCAAATATGGTCAAAATGATTATTCACAAGCATTGAACGCGAGTTACACGTTTCAACCCCTTATGGGTTTCTGGTCTCACCCAATCTCTTTAGACTTTTCTGCTTTTTTTTCACTTTTCCTTTTTCTCTTGTTTTTGTCATTTTGCTGCCGTCGCTAACTGCCAGTTGACTGCTAACTGCCAGTTGCCAGTCAGTTCAAGAATTTTCAAGAAACCATCATCCAAAAGGGAAATTCTTACCAAGCGATGAAGAGGGAAATTTTTCCTCTGTTTTCAAATTTATAAACCTTTTCTGTATAAATTTGAAGCTCAATATCACTCTGCTTTGGGTATTATTGCCGGTTTGGTTTCTCTTCCTTCGACAGGTTTTTTATTATTGTAAGAGGTGCCTTTTTCATGTAAACGCTTGGTAGAACATGATTAGGGTTATGGCTAGCCAAGGACGGCAGGGGTGATCCTATATGTATTTAATATACACTAAAACAGTGGATAGTGTTGTGCGCACTCTCTAATTGGCTACTGAAACATGGGATAATAATTACTATTGCGCGTACAAATTGTAATCGTTGAGGCGAACAAATGTGGCAAAGATCATTAATTGCTACCTTATTATAATCTGAAATTTTCGTGACACTGTAATTTCGCAAATTTCGCGATTTTAATTAAAGTGACGCAAACAATAAGTGTCGCGAACATAACATGATGATGTTAACGCGGCGCATACTGTTTTCCTTTTATTGGACGACCAAAAGTGACTTACCATTCAATATTAATTTCTGTATACGCATGGTCGTCTTTATTTTGAACACAATATAAAGCGAAAGGACAGAGCAAAAGGACAGGGTAATGTAATGAGAACGTATGAGTATTTTCCTTGCTGTAAATTGAAATCATTCCCACAATAAATGAATGTGTTCAGTCTGCTGGATATTTTGTCACCTTCCTCGGCGCATTATCAGCGCATTTTATCAATAACTGATCGTTAAACAAAGGACTGTTCCCGTCTTCAATGCAGAATATGTAAGTTTAATTTGCGGTCTCTGCACAAACGAGAACTTGGCGTGATGAAGCAGGTCAAAGCCCGATAATAAAAGATTTGTATTCCTCGCTCTTAAAGCATGTCATGAACTGCCTTTTCCTTTTCATTATTCGTCCACTTCGGGACTGCGGGAGCAGTCGTTTTACTCGTCCTTCTTTAAGTATTCTTTGACTGCGGGACCACAGGAGCAGCAGATTCAACTTAGGCTGAGACAGGTTCTGTTTAACAGCTAAAAATCAGACGATCGGTGATGATAGAAAACTGGAAAAAAAAAGGTTACCATGTCCTTAGTTCCCAGTGCTCTTTGGTTCGCTTCATAGAGTAATCGCACCTCGCACCGCCACATGTTCCCCCATCGCATGATAACAGTAATTAATGAGGTCTTTGCTTAAAAAAAAAGCCATTGGACTCACCTGATAAATTAACACACGACTGATATTCGAACTACAGTTGACCGATATACCACCGACAGTTGACCGATATACCACTGACAGTAGACCGATATACCACCGACAGTTGACTGATATACCACTGACAGTTGACCGATATATCACCGACGTATGACCGATAGTAAGTCGAGGTGCGTCGTCGAAATATCGACCGATACTCGGCCGATAATCTATCTCACTATCGACCGACTATCGACTGACCATCGACCGACTTTCGACCCACTATCAACCGACTATCGACGGACTATCGACCGACTGTCAACCGACTATCGACCGACTGTCGACCGACTATCGACCAACTATCGACCGACTGTCGACCGCTATAACGACCGCTATGTCGACCACTATGTCGACCGATATCTCGGTCGACATTACCCGCAGTAAACAAGATCCAATATCCCTAGGGGGGGAAATGTCATAGTTGGCACTATTAATTTATCAAACGCCCGATGAAAACGTAAGTTACTTTTTGGATTCATTGCAAAAATTATTGTCCACTACTTCTAGAGAGAATAAGATCTGTTATGTCATGGGCGATTTTAATTTAGATCTTTTATGGCATGAGCAACGTGCCATCACAGGAGAATTTGTCAAGCTTATGTTTTCTCACCTACTGTACCCCATGATCACAAAGCCCACCCATATAAAATCTAACACCACCTCTTTTATTGATAATATTTTCACTAATAATGTTACTTGTCTATCTGCCAATGGACTGATTGTAAATGATTTATCTGACCACTTGCCGATTTTTTCAATTAGTCGGGGAAACTTTGATTTCGACACTTCCACCAAAAGAGAAAGCATTGTTATCCTTGATTACAAAGATGAACATGTAAACAATTTTTGTTCCTCCTTAGAACGTGTTGATTGGGAGAATCTTGATAAATCAGATGCCAATTCAGCCTATGAATTCAGTGAAGTATAATAATTATGACAAAAACGTTCCTTAAAACCATTCAACTTGAGTATTGTGCTAAAAAATCATGTCATAACCCTTGGCTCACTAAAGGCCTTTTGAAATCCATAAGGACAAAAGCAAAACTTTGCAAAAAATTTCTTTAGAACCCAAGTGTCGCTGTTGAAAAGACTTATAAAACTTTTAAAAATAAGCTAAATCGCCCAATAAGGATTGGGAAAAAAACGTCTATGATCATAAACTTGCAGCCTCCAAAAATGACAAAAACTAGATGGAAAATCCTTAATGAGGTACTTAATAAATGCAAGTCTAAACTAACCTGCCCCTCTTTTTTAAAAGTAATGGTGAGCTTATCTCAGATCCCACTTTTATTGCTACCAGCTTTAGCAAGTATTTTTCTAACATGGGTCCCAATCTAGCAGCTAGAATCTCACCCTCCACTGCTAACTTCAGAGATTTCTAAGGCCAAACCACACAAACACCTTTGGAATTTCAGCGTCTCGCAGCTGATGAACTTAGAGCCATAGTACATAGTTTTAACTCTTATAAAGCTTCTGGAGTGGATAATATTACGATGAGAATAATATTGTTGAACCCTTAACTGAAATTATTAACCTATCTTTAGTAAGTGAGTGCTTTCCTAATACCCTCAATATCGCAAAAATTCTCCCTATTCTTAAAACTGATGATCCAGAAAAGCTTGAAAATTATTGGCCCATTTCCATTCTTCCAGCTTTTTCTAAACTTTACGATAAAGTGGTTTATAATCCTATCTATAAATACTTAACAAATCATAATATTCTTTATAACAATCACTTTAGATTTCGTAGAAATTTCTCAGGCACTTAGGGATTTAGTAAGGCTTAGGAATTTAAGTTCAGATCAAGCCACACTTGCGTTCATATAATTTTTTTGAAACTAAAATGGCATTTACGACAATACCTTGCTTTGAAAAGGTTTTATGGAGGTACATCTGTGAACAGGGAATACGTCAGCACAGAACTTGTTTGTGAAATTCTGTAATAATAAATATTGTCTAAGGTTCTGCTGATTAGTTACAGTGGAACCTTTCTTTTGGGACACCTCTATTCAAGGGACGCTTCCTTTCAGGGGACACAAAATTAGGTCCAGGAAAAATGTTCACATAATGTTTGTATTTGTTTCATTAATTTGTTGAAGGAACACCTCTATTCAGGTGAATGGGACACTTTTTGTAGTCCCAAAACCCGGGTTTAACCCTCCATTCAGGGAATTTCTAAGCTCTCAAAATGTGACTGACCGCAAAGAGGGTAGATAAGTTGAAATGTACATGTACATTAATCACAATGATAACATCTTTCACAGCTTTAGCCCGTGCACAGCTTGTCCCCCTCAGAAAAAATTGGGGAAAGGGCGTCTCTGATTCACCATAGTTGTATGGAGACCACATGATTTTTCCGAATGTGTGGAAAATAATTTGATTGGCTGTTACTCGTAGATCAATATGTCTTGTAAATGAGGTTTTTTGATTAACTATTATTTTCGGAGGAGTTTCTGAAGCCGTCTTTTGAAGTACCCAGAAGTATGCAATGCTTTCACTAAAACATGTGCATGAGTTTGCGATGAGTTCGTGTGTTCTTTGCAGTGTTCTCCTTACGAAGCAGAAACCTGTAAAATTTACCACCTAAAGCAACACTTCTTACTGCCTGCAACTGCTTGAAGGTTTACGAAAATTAAATAAGTTGTTTTAAAAATAACGTAAAAATACGCCGGTTGTGATCCGATCCAATCCTAAAAAGAAAATGAATGAAAATTGGAAAAATAAAAAAGTATACACAGCTAATGTCTCTGACTTCTTCATTTCATTGCTGCATACAGCTAT